ACCAAAAAAAAACAGTACTCATGTGAGCTACTGTCAATGTTATCCTTATTAAGGGACCCTTAACAGTGGACATAGTCTTCCCTCTTGTAGTCTAGTCTGGTCCCTAGATAGTCCCGAATAAGGAGCCCATGTCCATGAAATTCTGTAGGAAATATTGACTGACTGCAGCTCATGTAGTTAGCATGCGCAAGCTCATGCTTACCCTAAACCCTAAACCGCGTACGTAAGCGGCTGGTGCAGAAAACGTGGCTTGTCTTCGCTTGTGGCGTGGCCTACCTCGCGTACGTCTTGGCCTCAGCTGAGGTACTGTCAATACCCATTATCCCCAATATATGCCCATTATAGTAGCTTCCATTGTATTTTCCATTATGTCAATTTATCACCCCTATACAACCCATTATAGTAGTTAATATAATTGTCCACTAAGGTTTTAGGGTTTAGGGTGTTGGTCTTTAGGGCTTAGGCTCTAGGGTGATTAGGGTTTAGGGTGATGGGTGATTAGGGTTTAGGGTTTAGGGTTACCAAGGGACCATGAGTATTACCTTTTACAATAGAGAATCAAATTCAAAAGGGAACCGGTATATATGTATATGGAGTGGCTTATAGGTATTATATCATACATATGAGCCATAGTCTAAACTCCTTAAAGGGGGTCTATATAGGGGCTTATATAGCGGACTACCATAGGGGATATTAAGGGGGATACTAGGAGTTTAGACAGTAGCTCATATGTTCCCCCCAAACCCTAAACCCTAAACCCTAAACCTTACTTTAGTCCGTAGCTCATATGAAGCCTTCACGGGCTATCTGAAATTTGGAGCCCGTAGGATGCCAAAAGAGAAGATAAGTTCATCCGATCAAGACGCTTACTTGGGTAGTTGCCGGATTTAGCCTTTAGGATTTAGAGTTTAGGATTTCGGGTTTAGGAGTTTAGGGATTACAGGGAGTTTTCAGGTGGGTAGTTACTAGGTTACATAAGGCTTACGTACATAAGGCTTATATGGGGACGCCAGGACTACATACGGGCTATGTTAGGCTTATATGGCGGAAGATGATGGGTACTACGTATTCCTAAACCCTAATTACACCACAAACCCTAAACCGAAGGGATCTTGGGCTCCAAGGGAAGCAGGCAGATCATAGGGTTTAGGGTTGAGGGGATGTCGGAACCCAAAAGCCTAAACCCCAAACCCTTAAAACCCGAAATTCCTAAAGCCTAAATTCCTAAACCTTGAGACCCCCTCGAGGACGCACCTCAAGACTGAAGCCCTACAACCTAAACGAAACATCTTGTACCCTCCCCCCCTCATTAACAGTTGGATAGTACCTCAGGGTTTAGGATTAAGGGTTTAGGGTCAAAGGTTTAGGGTTTTAGGGTTATAGTCCCCCTTAAGTAGATAGTATATGGGGTATATGGGGATCTTATTATAGTAGACCCAAAGCCATATTCTATCTACTTAAGGGGACTATAACTAACTATATGGGTGCGGGCGCATAGGTAGCCGTGTTGCTTTCTATACGCAAAAGTGGCACGAAACCTAGGTATCAGCGCGATTTGGAGGAAAAACAGGGCAGTTGGACTTCCAGGAAACTATTGCCGTCAGGATAAGGTTTCACTCTTTGTTACATTGTGTTGCGATTTCTGAGATTGAGTGTGTTATCCCGGAGTCCTCAACCCGCAAGACGTAGAGAAACAACAACGCTGTACATATCAGTGTTTGGGCATGGCCAAAGGCTTGGTTCTTGTGACAGCTTTCCTTGTTCCACATCCTTGTGCGGTATGTTGTACAAAGACGCAGAAGCACTGTAAATACCTGTGTTTTGGGCATGGTCGCGAAAGGCATGGACGTTTGTGACGACGTGTCTTGTTCCACATCCCTTGCGCAGTTGTTGTACAAAGAGGCGAAAACACTGTAGACACCAGCGCTTTGGGCATGGGCGCAATATGAATGATGTTCTTATCCACTCCCCCTCCCGCCCCCCCCCAGGCGAACAAGACCTGAAAAAAACTGCAAAAGGCTTAACAAAGCTGCAAAAACACAGGGCGACTATCGCGCCCGCCGCCAACTATATAGAGCCCCTAATATGACCCCCATCATAGGTTGTTAATGAACCAACCTAATCCGTAACAGTTGGATAATATTTTCATATTACTTTGTAGAGCCCTTAACATGACCCCCCCTTATAAACCGTAAATGAGCCAAACTAAACCCTAAACGATAAACATTAAGCCCTAAATCCTTAATCCCCAGATCGTGAGCTGCTTGCCAACAGCAACCAGACATGATAAGGTGATCACCTTTTCCATTGAGGATGCCCTGGCAAGAACCTCAGAACCTCAGGGATTCTGTAGGGTTGGGGGGATTTGTAGGGTTTAGAGTTTTGGGGTGTAGGCGAGGTACCCCAGTAGTATCTCAGAACCTTTGAGATTCTGTAGGGTTTGGGGGGGAGTATTAGGGTTTGGGGCTTAGGGAATGAAAAAGAAACTGGAAGCCGTGATAGTCTTTTGGTGCAAGGATAAAGAGTTTAGGGAAATTCTTTCCTCAAGAATGGAAAATCATATGGAAACTGGAATTAGAAGAGGTCCTATTGGTTGTAAGATTTCCCGAATTTGGAGCCCTGTTTTTGCAGTCTCACAAATAAGTCCCAATTATACTTGAACTGGGGTCCATGCAGAGCACCCTATTTCTGTAAGCCGAGAGTTTCTCGAAATTTCGCATACGGGCGCTGTGTAGTCCGCGCAAGGGACCCGCACCTAACTTTCGTGCGCGCATGAGCTCCCAAAGGCAAGTTTTTGTTGAGAAAGGCACGCATGAGCTGTGACTGCAGCTCAATATTGGTTAGCGCTTGAATCGCAGAAAGCTTGTAGGTGGTTTCCAAACCTAGAGCTCCATTCTTGTAACCCATATTGGTAGCTTCCATTCTATTTTCCATTATCCCAATATAATCCCATATAATTCCTATAATTCCTGCTGTTTCCATTTTCTTTTCCATTATCCCTATATTACCCAATAATCCCACCTCAGTTCCAGATGCCGTACTATCAAGGCTCCTCAGCTTGAGTCCTTCAACATGACCCATGTACGTAGATATTGGGTGGTTGTCAAAATTATGGGTCCCTTTTTGAGTACCCTAAATATAGATTACAGGGACTATATCGTGATTCTATGGGGATAATGGAAAAGAAACTGGAAACTACCATATTGGGGTGATATACGCCCTAATAGTCCCTTTTTGGGTACCCTAAATATTAGGTGCCGTATTATAAGAGGGATCCAAAAAGCGGACCATAATTTTGACAACCACCCATATCTTGAGTATTTATGCAGCCTTTGGCATAGATGGCCAACGGCGTTGTTTAGGGTACCCTAAACCCTAAACCCTAAACGTTTCGGATTTAGGATCCTTCCCATGGCAGGGCCTCTGAGACGAACCACCCGCCCTGTGTTTGAAGGTGTGCTTACTGATCGTTTCCTGGATGGCCTATCCATTCACAACGTATGCCTGCAGCTCAGTATAGGTTCTGGTTTAGGGTTTAGGGTTTAGGGTTCAAATCTGAGTTTCCCACCGGGTCTCCACATAGATGGGAATATCCATCGTGACAAGTCGTTGAGCCCGGAGGCGTGTGTACCAAGATGACTGCACTTATCGCTTATTAACCCCCACCCACCTAATGTTATGTATTCCTACTAATATACCACAATGGGAACCATATTGCTTGCTTACTTTGGTTTTTGCCGTGGCGCAGGTGAATGCCTCAAAAGCCTCGAGGGGTGATAACATGCAATCTAGTAGCTGGGTACCTTTTTGGGTTCCCATGCAGTGAAGGTTTAGGGTTCGGAGTTACGGGCCGAGAATGAAAGGGTTTAGGGTTTAGGGTTTAGGGTTTTCCTAAGAGCTGGGACATATTTGCAGCATGTCTAGAGACGGCCCTAGGCCCCAAACCCTAAACCCAAAACCCTCAAGCCAGGCTCTTTTGCTTTCTGGTTTTCTGCAGGCTTCAGGGTCTTCCCTTTCGAAGTGCCGGATGGCCTGGAGCTTGTGGATTTCGGGAAGGGATCTCGCTGTAAAGTGCTCTTCGCTAGCTGGGACGCCTGGATAGTGGAGAAAAGGTCCGAGAAAAACAAAACTCAAGCCCATATAAACTTACCATCACTTGGGGTTCCCAAATTCCTCACATAGTTTAGAAATTTCGAAATTTTCAAAGTCCAAAATCTGCCCCCACAACCTAAGTAATGGCAATCAACGCTAAACCTTGATCCAAGCTTGCGCCCAGTGGATGTGCATGCCCGTTGGCGAGATGTGGCGAAGGTCACTGCCTTAGAGCCTTGCCTCGGTGGTTGGGTTTAGGGCTTAGGGTTTAGGGTTTTAGGTTTAGGGTTTAGGCTTTAAGGTTTAGGGTTTAGGGCGTCTTGCTGAACGGCGGCTGGAGGAAACATGTAGAAATGGCGCCCCGACACACCCAAGGGTGTGGGGCGGCGGCATATCTTGCGACGGCACATCTCT